GGGGGGGGGGGGGCGTGCGGCTGGGATGACCGTGCACGCGCGGGTTTCAGCCATTGCATAGATTAGATGTGCGGCAAAGATGATCGCACAACAGTGCTCAGGTAATACGGCTGAATCAGCGGAGGACAGAGTGACGGGGTTGCCGCAACAGACAATTGTACTCTGCGGGTGCGCCCGCGAATGCAAGACGCCCTGCATCGCCCACACTCACCATTCTCAATCATGGAGTCAATCATGGCGTTGTAAAAGGCAATCCCTTGGAAATTGACGCCCGAGCCGCGGACGCCGTCCGGCAGGATGCGGCTCCAGGAGAACGAAAACCTGCGGGCGGGGCGGCAGGGGGTCGACGCAACTGGCATGCCTCCGCGCCGGAACGCCACAGCCGCCTGTGCTGGCGCAGCGATGCCACGTTCGAGCTGCTCACTGCGCCGTTCACGTTTTCGCGTTGCACCACTGCATTCCAGCAGCACAGAGCGCACAGTCTGCGACATGCATTTCGTCCCCACCCCTCCCCCCCCCTCCTCACCTGTAATTCTTGATCCCAAGGTCCTTCATCAGCTTGAAGTCCTCCCTGAATTTGTGGAAGTGGTCGCAAGCCACGTCGCCGTTGTCATTGTTCTTCACCTTGCCTGCGCAGAACAACATTGCGGATGGCGGCGCCGAAACGTGAGCGCGCGCGACGAGGGGTTTGGGAGGGTTTGGGTGGGCGTCGCGAGCGCGCTTTGCGTGCTGAGGCCCACACCGGCTCTTCCTAATGTTTCACCGCTCAATGGTGACCGACCTGGAGTGTGGGTAAGGGTGTCCCACACGCTTGGCGAGCGTCCGCTCTCGTTCCAGGCGCCCTCGACCTGGGCCGGGCGCAGCGCATATGGCGTCATCGCAGGTGAATACCCGGCATGTCGGCATGAGCGGATGCCGGCGGTCGAGCACGAGGACTCTGGCATGTTTTTACGTGGCTTGCCTGATATGCTGCCGTGGCCACACCCCAGTTGATGCTCTTTCGCAGGTGCGCGCTGCACTCATCCGGCGGGCCCGGCTGCGGCATCCCGGCCGCTGCCGCCGGCGCTGCGACAGCCAGCAGAGCTGCCACTGCCAACAACACCATTGAACCCATATTTGATACTATTTATTTGCAGCTTGACGTGGTATCAAGCGCTGCCCGGCTTCCAATCTAGCCTGTTCAGGTCGGGCCGGCGGTTTGGAACTTTGGATCGTGTGCGACGAGTACGGTAGGTAATACCGAATTGATGCGACAGGATGGATTGAAATGTGATGTCATATCTAATATTACAGTAACGACCTACGCAGGCGTACTGAATGCAAGCACATGATTGCATGCAGCACGCCGCCACCGAATTTGCCTGTCACTTTCAGAGATTAGGCCGGCGCGCCATGTGTTTGTAAGGCCTGATGCTTACCTTGCATGCAATTTGATTTTTTTTGCCATCAAAGATGCGGTCGCGTATGCAGTGGTACCTGACCACCAGCACGTCAAGTCACTGCCTACTTCACAGGACAATTATGTCCTGTAGGTGAAACCTGCTGTGAGGATGTTTGGACATCCCTCTTCGGCGGAAGACTGCCCGCGCCTCAGTTCTCGGCCCTTCAAAGATCTTCAAAAGCGTGAAAACGCCACAATCCAGCAGTCCAAGCTGGGAGCGTCGACAACCATCTGATCTGCAAGTAAGCCATTGCAACCCTCAAAATGAGAGGTGGAGTAGAATTGCGTAGAATTACAAGCGAAGAGGTCGGGATAGTCTCACCGCCGCGCCGTGCATGACGCGCTCCCGCTGCTGCTGCTGCCGCTTTCATGCAGGCACAGCAGCCCGGCGCCAGGCTGTGCTACCCACGCCGCGCCCTGCCGCAGCTGCAGCCCCTGGGGCGAGTAGCCATGGTGCGGAAGCTGCTGCTGCTGCTGCTGCTGCTGCTGCTGCTGCTGCTGTTGCTGCTGCTGCTGCTGCTGCTGCTGCTGCTGCTGCTCCTGTGGCTGCTGCGGCTGCTGTTGTGGCTGCTGCGGCGGGCGCAACAGGCCATGCTGCTCACGCTGCTGACCTGGCAGGCCCTCGTCTTGAATCGCCCCGTCGCCACCGCTGCCCAAACCCGCGCCCGCATGCCGCCGCTCCAGCCACGCCCGAGACAGCGCCGCGCGCTCGCCCCGCCGTCGCCGCGCCGCTGCCCGCAGGCGCCGCGTCAGCACCCGCGCGCGCCGCCGCTGCCGCTCCAGCGGCAGCTGCGCCGGCCACGCCGTCAGCAGCGACGAGAAGCGCCAGAGTCCGCGGTGGCTGGCGTGCGGCGCGAGCAGCAGCAGCGACTCAACCAGCCTCAGCTGCTGCGCCCCCGCAAGCGCCGGCCACTGCGCCTCCGCCGCAAAAAACAGCTCGGACGCGAGGCGCTGCGGCGGCAGCAAGCGCGCTGCGGGCGGCTGAAGCCGCCGCCGCCGCTGCTGCTGCTGCTGCTGCGCCTGCCGTTGCTGCTGCTGCTGCTGCTGTTGCTGCTGCTGCTGCTGCTGCTGCTGCTGCTGCTGGTGCTGGTTGAGCCGCGGCTGCCGGGGGTGTCGGCCGCTCGCCACAGCGCCGAGGGCGGCCGCGAGGGCGAGCAGGTCGGCCCCCTGGCAGCCGCGCTGCAGGGCGGCGCTGCAGGCAACCCACAGGTCGTTCTTGAAGCACCGCGGCAGCAGCGGCCCCAGCAGCAGCGCCGGCACCGCGCCGGCGGCCGCGGCGAGCGCCGCCGGCGGGAGCGCGCGTAGGGACGGCTGCAGGAGCGCGAGCGCGCGGGCGGCGGCGGCGGCTGGGGGCCGGTAGCCCGCGCGCGCCAGGGCGCCCAGAGCTAGTGCGAGGTGAGCCGCGGACGCGGCGTCCATGCACGGCCGCCCCGCGGCCGCGGCCGCGAGAGCGTTACCAGGCCGCAGCACCGAGGGCGCCCTGGGTCGCCGCCGCTGCGCTGCACCGGCGCCGGCGCTTGATGCGTCGAGCACGGCGCTCTCGGCGCGGCGGGCAGGCCCGCGCTCGTCGACCGAGTGCACCAGCGGCTCCGCTGCTGCTGCTGCCGCTGCTGCTGCTGCTGCTGCTGGTGCAGCTGCTGCTGCTGCTGCTGCTGGTGGTGGTTGTGGAACACGGCCCGCAGGACTCTGCCCCGTCGCGGTGGCGAGTGCCGAGGCAGCTGCCCGGGCCGCCAGCCAGTGCGGGACGTGCAGGGACCCGGCAGTCAGCCGAAGCACAGGCGGCGGCCGCCGCGCATGCGCGCGCTCCAACAGTGCAGCGGCCCCGTTCACGGCGAAAACAGCCCTGCGACCAAAACTGCCGCCATGTGGATGTGCCACGGCCGGCGACTGCGCCGGCCGACGCGCAGGCGCTTGCTGCTGCAGCTGCCACTGGTCTGGCTGATGCAGAAGCGCTCGCCCGCGGCCGTCAAAGCGCAATCGCTGCAGCTGTGAGTCCAGCGCCGCCACCGCAGCTGCCATGAAGCTGCTGGGGGGCGCAGCCCTGCACCGGCTCGCTGCTTGGAGCAGTTGAGACAGGTCCCCTAGAGAAGGTCCTGTACTGCTGCTGCTGCTGCTGGCATTCCCAAAGCTCCTGCTGCTGCTGCTGCTGGTGCGCAAGTGCACCTCGGCAGCCTCAAAAAGCCGCCGCTGGCACGCAAGCCTGTCGCTGCCGCCACCGCCGCCGCTGCTCGCTTCCAGCAGTGCAGAGATCTCTGCCAACGCCGAGCCGCCCGCCCGCCGCCCTCCCTCCGCCAAAACAGCCGCCCGGCATGCGCGCAGCCGCGCGCCGGCCGCCGCGGGCAGCTGACGCTGCTCGGCCGCCGCCAGCGCCGCCAGCGCGCGGCACAGCAGCGGCACCGGGGCGGCCGGCAGCTGCGCCGCGAGCCCGTCAAGCGCGGCACACAGCACCTCTTGGAGGCCGTCGTCCCCGGCAGGACCATGGCTCGCGTGGCTGGCGCCTCGGGGGCCGACCTCGCCGCCGCCGGCGCCCTGCAGAGCAGCCAAAGGGCCCAAGACCGCCAGCAACTCCCCCGGCCCTGCGCCCCCCAGCCCGGCCCCCAGCGCGCCCGCCGCCGCCCGCAGCCACTCCGAGTCCGCGCCCAGCCCCAGCGCCGGCGCCGCACGCAGCAGCGCCGCTGCGTCGCGCGGCGCCGCGGCGGGCGCCGCGGCGAGGCACGCGTCTCTGAACGCGCCGCGCCAGCCGGGCGACAGCTCGTCAAGGGTCGAGGGCCCCACGCACCACGCGGGCAGCGCCAGCGCCCACGCGAGCGTCGCGAGCGTCTGCGGCGGCGCGCCGCGCAGCGCCGGGCGCGCCGCCGAGAGGAACGCGCCCAGCCACGGCCGCAGCGGCCGCTGGCGCCAGCGCGCGAGCGCGAGCGCAAGCATCGACAGGTCGGACGCGCCGGAGCGCGGCAGCAGCGGCTGTGATGCCTCGTAGAAGCTGAGCAGCCACTGCCAGTCCGGGCGCGCGCCGAGCTGCGCCACCGACACCGTCGCGACCGCGAGCGCGCGCGGCCCCGCGCACGGCAGCTCCCGACGCAGCGCGCCCAGCAGCGCCGCGGCCACGGGGCCGCCAGGCGCGAGGGGCCCGCCGCGCGCGTGGCTAGGGCGGCGCTGGAGGCCGGACGTAGCCAGCGCCCAGGAGGCGTGGGCCAGGTCGTGGGCAGTTAGGAAGGGAAGCTGCCGCTCCAGTGCGGGGAGCGACGCGAGCAGCGCCTGCTGAGCTGCCGCCATCGGCGGCGCGCACGGAGCCGCCTGCTGCTGCTGCTGCTGCTGCTGCCCCAGTGGCGCAGGCGCGCCCTCCTCCCGCGGCAGCAGCCGCTGCTGCCGCTCCGCCGTCGCCGCCAGCTTTGTGATCGCCCACATTCCCAGGGATAAGTCCCTGCCGCTGCAGCGCCGCGCGCAACGCGCTAGGGCGGAGCCCAAGGCAGGCACCAGCGGGCCGCAAATGACCATGCCGCCCTCGGCAAGCGTTGCAAACGCCCATGACAGCTGCACCACGTCCTCGGGGTGGGGTGCCTGCTGCTGCCCTGGCTGCTGCTGCTGCTGCTGCTCCGGCTGCTGAACTCCCCACCGCCTGCTATTCAAGTCCCGCTGATTCAAGTTGTTGTGCTGCTGATACAAGTGCTGCTGCTCCTGCTGCTGCTGCTGCTGCTGCTGCTGCTGTCTGGGCGAGCCTTGCCCAAGAGAGCCTGCTGCTGCGGCTGCCGTCGCCGCCGCCGCGTCCTCCTGCCCCGAACCGCCGAACGCCAACAAGTGCGCGACTGCTGCCGCCTGCGCCGCCGCCGCCCACTCCCCTGGGGGCACGATCCCAAGCTTCGATACGGCTCCGAGCAGCGACGCGAGCGCCCGCAGGTCGAACGACCCCAGCCGCGGCCGCAGCGCCCCCAAGACGCCGGCCGCCCACGCGGCACCCGGGCGGTGGCCCAGCTGCGCCAGCGACAACAGGACGCCGGCCGCGCCCTCAGGCGCCGCGAACGGCAGCTGCGCGGCAGCTGCGGCCGCAAAAGCGTCCATCCACCGCTGCCCCGGGCGCTGGCCAAAGCGCGCCATTGCCCACGCCAGCTGCGACAGGTCTTGGGATCCAAACTCGGCCAGGTGGGCGCCCGCCTGCTCAAACGCGGCGTCCCAAAAGTGCTGCGGCGGGCACCAACCCATCCGCGCGAGCGCCCACAGGCAGAGCGACAGCTGGCGCGGCGTCAGCTGGGGCATGTGCGCGTGCGCGTGGCGCGTCGCGGCGTTGACGAACGCGCCGGCGGCGGCGGCGCCGTCCACGCCGCGCCGCCGGCTGCCTGCCGTCGCCGGCACGCCGGACGCCGTCGCAGCCGTCCCCGTGGCCTCGCCGCCGGACCCGCTGCCGCCGCCGGCGTCCGCGACGCGCGCTTCCGTCACCGCCGCGCTGCAGGGCCGGGCGCCGATTTTCGCGAGTGCCCACAGCATCCGCACGACGTGCTCGGGCGCCGCGCCGCGCAGCTGGTGCAGCGCGAGGCGCAGCACCTGCGACAGGAATGCGTCGAAGTCGCGCTGCTGCCGCCTCGCGTCGGGCCCCTCGCCCGCGGCCGCGGCCGCGGGCCGCGCGCCGGGCGCGGCGAGGCTCGTGAGGAGGGCGGCATAGTATTCTGCGCTGCAGGAGGGCAGGTCGATCTGCAGCTGGGCCCGCAGCCACTGCCAGTCCTGCGGCTGCCGCGCCGCGCCCGCCGGCGCGCTTGCCGCGCCCGCGTCCGGACGCGGCGCGTCCTCGGCGCGGGCCTCTTCGCCGCGCCTGCGGCTGCCTGCGGCGGCGGCGCCGTTGATGCCGCTGACGCTGTGTCCGTTGCTGCTGTGCGGTGGCAAGCCGCTTGCGTCATGTTGGAAGTCGAGGTGGCCTGCCGAGTGCCCCTGCCAGCTGCCCTGCTCCGCGGTGACGGCCGCAGCTGTTGCGACCCATGTGGGCGCGTGGGGGCCACCGCGCGGCCGCGGGCAGCAGCAGCCCGCGCGGCCCCTGCGCAGGTTGCGTAGAATAGATCTTCAGATCGATTGAGCATGCGCAAATGCGATGCACATCCCCCAAGCGGTGGCGCGCATCACTCACCTTTGGAGTGCGGCGGTGTGCTGAGCGGCGCCTGAGGTCGGCCAGCCCCGAGCGCTCATTGGGCGCTGCGGGCGAGCTACACGCGTTTCATAGTCACTGCGTGCTGCCTGGACTCCTCCAGCGGCTGGTGCAGGGCCGCGCCCAGACTGCAGTGCTGGGCAGTCCCGAGTTCAGGGCTGCAGCGTTCTGACGTCGTCAAGATAATGGCAGTTTGATCTTGTGTGTCTTTGACAATAGACAGATCGCTGCGATGGCTGCAGGCAGCACTGGTGAAATTTCACAAATGCGCCAAAACAGCAACGCAATGCGAACCTAATGAACAAATGCTACGTACGCGAATGCACCAATGCATGGTCACGTTGTGTTGCGCCGCTTGCACTGTGCGGTACTGATGCTGCTTCCAGCGCTCCGGCCACCCACGACCCACCCGGCCGGGATATAACTGTGAGATAGGTACTTGCAGACGGCCGGCTTCTAGATACACGTGAGCGCCTTATCAGCGGTCTTTGTGTTCACTCGGGTGCAAACGACTCAATTGTTGTGGACGCTGGAACGGTCAACGATATCACTCAACCCCCTGCCACGACAAGTTCCCAGATGGCAGCCACGACACACAGTGGCCTGTTTTTCGCACAGGCGTGCACCCACATGCATGACACACATCATCCAAAAACCTCCCACGCCTCCCGCAGCACTGCCTCTAGCTGCTCGCGCCCCAGCGCCCCTGGCCCCGGGTAGGGGGCCCCATCCACTAGCAGCTCGGCGCCCGCATCCCGTGCAAGCGCCGCCCTGGCCGCCTCCACATGAGCCGTAGCCACCTGGAAGGCCCAAACAAGGTGACCGACACCCTCTAGGCTCATGCCCAGGCATTCCTCGACCGACCGGCCCCCCAGCGCCGCACCGGCCCCTGCCGCAACGCCGTCGCCCGCGTCGCTGACCCGGCAGCCGG